TGACCTGCAAACCATGTTTTTTCACTCACGCCACAACAGTCCCCTCTCTAAACTAAATACTTACTGCCTGCCATGCTGTTGAAAGCAAATTAGGCTTATGTAAATTTGGCCGGGCAACTTCGCACAATTAAGGCCCCCCAAACGAATCAGGGGGGACTGAATAATTTCGGCGAAACTTCGCACAATTAAGTCCCCCCACACTAATGGGGACCCAACATTCCCCTGCAGGCTGCAACACCGCCATCGGCCGAGTGGAATGTCCCCCATGATGGGCCGATTGATAAGACCTTCACGGTGACTGCCGCACCCCATCTTGCAGAAGGCCAAAAGTCTCCAAAGAAGGAAGAGCTAAGAGAAAAGAAAGACGAAGATGAGGATGAGGAGGAGGAGGAAGAGGAGGAGGATGAAGAGGATGATGAGGAAGTCTCACGACCCAAGACAGCACCGCTTTCCAAAGATGATGGCTCTTCAGAGAGTGAGGCAGTCGCACGTAGGGGGAAGAAAAAAGAACCCGAGCATGTGGATACTGAAAGGAAAAAGGATCTGACCGCCGAGGAGCGAGAGCTGGAGATGCAGGAAGCAGAGGATCGAAGGCTCATGGAGCAGCTGCGATTGAGAGAAGAGGCCCGCAAGAAGAAAGCGGAAGAACTGCGAATGCGAAAAGAGCAAGAGAAAATGAAAGAGGTGCCAAAACCACTTGAGGAAAAAGACGACAAAAAGAAAAGAAAGCAGAAGGACAAGGACCAGAAGAAGAAGGAGAAGGAGGATAAGCGCAAGAAGGAAGAGGAGGAAGAACGCGAGCGCCTCAGAAGGGATCGTGAGAGAGAAGAGGAGGAGCGGCGGCGAAGAGAGGAGGAGGAACAGAAGGAGCGACGCCGCAAGAAGGAGGAGGAGGAGCGCAGGGAGCGTGCAGAGCGTTCGGAGCGTGAGCGACGTGAGCGTGCCCGCAAAGAAAAGGAGGAAGAGGATCGAAGAAGGAAGCGAGAGGAGGAGCGACGTGAAGAAGAGGAGCGAGAGGAACGAAGACGTCGTAAGGAGGAAGAGGAGCGTAGACGACGCAGAGAGGAGGAGGATCGTCGCAGAAGAGAGGAGGAGGAAGAAAGAAGGCGCGAGGAGGAGCGCCGCAGGAAGCGGGAAGAGGAGGAGGAGGAAGAGAGAAAACGGCGGCGGCTCATTGAGGAGAAGGAGGAGGCAGAGCGGGCACGGCGGAAGGAGATTGAGCGGCAGAAAAAAGAGGAGGAGCGCCGCAAGCATGAGGAGAAGATGCAGCGAAAGGCGGAGGAACGCAGACGCCGCGAGGCCGGCGACCACCGCGACCGCAGCGACCGGGACCGTGGGGACCGTGGGGACCGTGGAAGGGACAGAGACCGCGACAGGCCGGAGAGGCAGGAGGTATCTGAGAGCCTGCCTCGTGAAGCTCGTAAAGAGAAGGAAAAGCCAGAAGACAAACAGCAGAAAGCGATCCAAGCCGTGGTTTCCTGCTTCCACCGAATGAATGGAGTGAACCTTGCTAACTTTGAGAGTTTGAAGGCAGATTTCGAGCGCATCATGGCCTCAGAGCTGCCTTACACAGGTGAGAAGGAAGCAACACTGCGAGAGGAAGCGGGCAAAATCCTGAGCACTGCAGAGGCCAACGTTGCCAAGGAGAAGGTGCGGCTGGAGGAGGAGAGCAAGCGCAAGGAGGAGGAGGAGAAGCTGCGCCTTGAGCAGGAAGCCAAAGCAAAGCGTCAGCAGGCCGCTAATCTGAATGTCCTGAAGGCCCTGCAGAAGCTCTCAGATGCCACGCCTGAGAACTGGGCGCAGATGAGCATGGAGTTCCAGGAGGTGATGCGCACAGAGCTCCCAGATACGGGGGACCAGCGTGAGGCGTTGCAGGCCGAGGCTGACCGCGTCTTCGCTTACGCGCAACAGTACGTGAAGCAAATGGAGGAAAGGCAGAAGGAGCAAGAGGAGCGCGAGCGGATCCGGAGAGAGGAGCAAAAGGTCAAGGAGCAGAATGCGCGCTCAGTGCTGGCTGAGGTGGAGACTTGCCTTTGCAAAGCAGAAGAGGAAGCGCAGAAAGCTCGAAGTGCTTCCGAGCAGCTCTACCAGCTCTCACAGCTCTCCCAAACCCAAACGGGAACCTCTTTGAAGACAGAAAGAAGAGACGCCTTGGTGGCCTCCTTTCCAAAGGGTGCCGAGGAGTCCTTGCGACAAGGCCGTATTTGTGGAAAGCTCGGCGGTTTGGCGCAGGCTGCCGCGGAAGGGGCCTGGAAGTTCCTGGAGAGCCACCGGATGGCATTGCTGGAGGTCGAAACTTTGCGGAACGAGATGTTGGCCTTTCTACAGCGTAGTGAGGCGAGGCTCCAGGCCTGTCAAATGGCAGCCCAGGGCGCAGTGAAGTTGGCCTCCGAAAGCCGCGAGCGTGTGCAGAACAACGCGGCGCCAATGCTTTGGGATCGTAAGTCAGGTGACGTCTTCCGAACCTACGACCAGGATGAGGACGGATTCTTGTCCAGGAATGAGGTCCTGAACTTTGCAAGGCTCGAGTATGGCTTTGCGATTCCTTCCGTGAGCCTGGATCGGATCTTCCGACAGCTTGCGAACGACGGGGCGCCGGGCCTGGAGCCCGCGCGCTTCCAGCAGCTGCGGACGGCCCTGGGCATTGCACGCTTCGAGTACAAGTCAGCTCGGAATAAGGCCAAGGAGAAACAGGCTGCTGAACCTCCGGACGCCGAGGCGGACAAGGTTGAGAACGAGTACCGCGAGTACTTAAAGCAGAGATTCCGTTCAGTGTCAGCGGAAGTCGAGGGCATTGCCTGGACAGATTTGGAAACCAAAGTCTCCGAAGTGGAGTCAGCTTCAGCCAGCTTTGTGAAAACTTCCTCAGACTTGGCTTCTCAGGAAGAACTCCAGCGAGTCGAGGCCTCTTTGGATGCTGCACTCACAGCTGCGAAGAATGCCGTGCCGGGCTTCCTTAGCCACCTGCGCACCCTGCGCCACGGCACTATGCAGCTAATCATGGTCCAGCCGAGGGCCGCAAAGCCGCTGAATGCGGAGAAAGCTGAGAAAGCTGAGAAGCCTGAGAAGCCAGAGGAGCAGGAGAAAAAGGATGAGAACTTGGACAAGCAAGCCGCACCAGATGACGCAAAAGCTGACACAAAGGAGTCTAAGGAGGATCCACCCAAAGAGCCGAAAGAGTTGGATGTCTCCAACGAGTCGCGGGATCTGAAGGATCTGAAAGACTTGCAGGAAAAACTTCGGCAGCTCTCACTGCGTTTGTCACGGCTCGAAGCTCGAGTTGTCCTTGCAGAGCGCCGTGCCGCCGAGGGCCGCAAGGTCACGGCCCACATTGCTGCATTGAAGGTTGAGGAGGTTCGGGTGGAGGTTGCCATGAAGCTGCGACAGTGCATTGAGCAGCTGGGTGGAAAAGCAGTCGACCTCTTCCAGATCATTGCTAAAGGTGAGGACGCAGCCTCGGTTGAGGAGGCAGCCCTCTGAAAGCATTTCGCAGTCTAGCATGTTTCTCAGTTTTGTAGTGCACGTGCGTGCCAGGCACATGCATTCCTCAAGGAGAACAACTGTGACGTCGAAATCGACAAGTGGGCTGCCTAAGGATCAGAATACCTGAGCCCAGTCGTGGCATTCCATGCTATGCATTGCATGCCCTTAAAACGCTGGGAAAGCATGAATTGGTTGAAGCAGTGCTGTTGTTGTTTTTGAGCGAACTCTTGATGTTTTGGAGGTTGGCACGTGCCTTCGCAGCCTGTAAGACATCTCAGGAGTTGAGAAGTTCTGTGAGCCGAACATGTAGAGCATGCATGCTTTTTCCTTTTTCGCCTTCAGGAGCCTGGGGTGAAAGTCAGCCGCGAGGAGTTTGCCAGGAGCTGGCGGATGATTTGTCAGAAAGCCTTGCCAAGACTTTTTTCTTTGGACGACATCTGCGAGTTGTTGCGACATGTAGTAGAAACAATGTTGAAGGAAGGTTGTCAGATTGGCATGGTACTGTCAGTTAGCCGGCCAAAAGTATGTCGCACGTAGAAATTGCAGTTTCTGCTCTCTGACGTTTGCAGAGTTTCAAGCTGAAAGGTCTTGACCTTGTTGACTCTGACATGCGGCAAGTGCCTATGTGCCGGTGTGGTTGACCCGTTATGATGCGAGGCGCTCCAGAAACTCGTGCTTGTTGACTCTGACTTGTTATCTTAATCCTCGTATCTGCATGCATCGCCTGTATAGCAGTCTATACTGGTAGACAGTGTCAAAAGTCACACGGATAGCGAGGGCAGGGGTCGCCTGGACTTTTGCATCCCCATGGCTCATGGAGTCGGAAACGGCATCCTCTGAACAACGCTGCTGCTTCAGAGACCTGGCAAACATACTTTTGGGAATCGGCCTTTATTGTGTTTCACAGGGGATCTACAACTTGGTTTGGACGTGCGTTCGATGAGCTGAAACAATCCTACTGCGTCACAGACTGAGAGGGATATGGAAAAGAGGCTTGAGCAGCAATGAGAAATGCTAATGCAAGCTTCAATGGAAGTTTCAATAGACAATTTGCATGAAAATGATGCGATGACTGTCATGAGTCATAGCGACGACACTGCCGCCCTCCGCCGTCGCACGACGAGCAAGACGAGGACGACCGCTGCGACCGCGGCGACCGCGACGCCAACCCCGACCACGTGTCGCTGATCACAAGCATCTTCGGAGCATCCGTTAGGTAGCTCTGATTATTCATCTGCCAGCGCGCACGTGCCAAAAACTGCTGAGCTGAGCTGCAGGATTATCCGCGTGGTCTACGAAGTCTCCAGGGAAGTGGGCCTGACAGAGAGCCTGGCCATTGGCCCGGCCATGAGGGTCCTGGAGGTCGGCGAGCTCCTGGAGGCTGCGCCTGCAGAAGGAGTTTGGAACGTCTAAAGACGGGGTGAGTTACACTTACACTTCGTCACTTACTCTTCTCATTCAATGAGGTCCACGCCGGGCCACGAGCCGAGCCCTCACCTGAGGCGGGCTCCCCGGAATCGCGAACTTGTGCGAACGTTTCTGCGAATGTTTTGTCTCAGGGCCTGCAGCGGATCCACGCGCGAGCCCTTCGCGATGGCGTGCTGGGCTGGGTGACTTTGTCCAGCAGCCAGGGCCCCAAGAGAGTGAAGAATGCGATGCTTTGCGATGCTTGCTGAGTGAATCAGGGAATCCCTTCTCTCTGCTTGTTTGCGTCTTTGGCAGGCGAGGGGCCCTACCTCGTGAGAAGCAAAGCAAGTCAGATGTGAGAGCGTGAGATCCCGCAAAAAACATGCGAGAGAAATTCGTTCGTGGTCACTTGTGATTGACTGATGTTTGATGCTGGCATGTGTGTGGTGAACGCATTGCAAATTACATCAAGGAAAAAGTAAGAGCCTTAGCATGTGCATGTAAAAATGGGTTTACTAGTGCAGCTCGCGTTGGGCTTCGAGGCTGGGGCGGAGAGTGTCGGCCTCGGAGGCTTGCAGCTGCTGCTCCTTTTCGGTGGCCTCTACCTTTTGTGGAGGGCTTTCAACCTTCAACAGCTCATCTCCGACACATACCATGGGTATTTTGGGGCAGCAGTTGTTGTGGTGCCTGCTGCGGATTCTGAGACGACCCGGGGCCACAGGAACACCGAGCGGAAGTTCGATTATGCGAAGGAGTGGCCTACATGGCCCAAGCAGTCCATTCCATGCTGGGACCCCGCGACTCTGGAGTTTTTAGGTGAAGTTCCTGCATGCAGCGAGCAGCAGATAAAAGCTTTGGTGCAACAAGCGCGCGAAGCGCAAGAGGTATGGAAGGGGTCGTCCTTTGCTCAACGACGATTTTTGCTAAGAAGCATTCAGCAGTTCGTGCTGGAGAACATGGACACCATTTGCACGGTTTGCTGCAGAGATTCGGGTAAGACAGTGCTGGACGCCATGGTCGGTGAGCTGACCGTCACCTTGGAGAAGCTCCGATGGACATGTGCCGAAGGTGAGAAGTGTTTGCAACCTGAGTACCGTAGCTCGGGCCTTATGAACTTGCACAAGACAAGTCGCGTGGAATGGACACCTGTGGGCGTGGTTGGCGCCATTGTGCCATGGAACTACCCCTTCCACAACGTGTTGAACCCGATCATTGCGGCGATTTTTGCCGGAAATGCTGTGGTGGTCAAGGTCTCGGAATTTGCAGCTTGGTCGAGTCAATATTTACAACGCGCTTTGCGGCAGATATTGCTGGCCTGTGGCGCCCCGGTCGATTTGATCAAGCTGGCACCCGGCTACGCAGAGGCAGGCAAGGCCGTGGTCGAGTCCTGCGACAAGATCATCTTCGTGGGCAGCGTAGCTGTGGGCCGCAAGGTTATGGAGGCGGCAAGCCGGGCAAGTGTCCTCACACCCGTGATTTTGGAGCTCGGGGGCAAGGACCCTTTTGTTGTTTGCGAAGATGCCCAGATCGACGAGGCCCTCGCTCAACTTGTGGTCCGCGGAGCCTTCCAGAACATGGGCCAGAATTGCGCGGGACCTGAGAGATTCATCGTTTATGACCAGGTCTATGAGAAATTTTGTGAAAAAATCACTGCTCTTGTGAGCAAGCTGCAGCAAGGCCCACCCCTAGGCCCCGATGGGCCTAGGGTAGATTGCGGGGCTTGCGTGCATCCACCGAGCCTTGAGAACTATCAAAGGCTAGTGGAGGATGCTGTGTCAAAGGGCGCTCGGATCTTATGCGGCGGCAAAAGGAATCCCAAGCTCGAGGGTCAATTCTTTGAGCCTACGGTGCTTTGCGATGTGACGGAGGGTATGGATGTTGCGGTGGAGGAGACCTTTGGGCCGATCTTGTGCGTGTTTCGAATCGAAAAAAGTGGGAAGGCTGCGGACCAGGAGGCCTTGCGCCTGGCCAACAACTGCCCCTTTGCCTTGTCTTCCTGCGCTCATGGAAGCGAAGACCGTGCCTCATGGCTTTGTAAGCATTTTGAGGCTGGAATGGCAAGCGTGAACGATGTGGAGGGCACCACTTACCTCAGCCAGTCTTTACCTTTTGGTGGCTACAAGGACCCGATAGGCCCAAGGGCAGCCCTGGGCAGCCATCGGCAGGTTGATGAAACTTGAGCTCGGAGAGAACTGTCAGTATCTGTTTCTGGCTTTGGGTCTTTTGCTCTGCAGGACTCGGGCTTCGGTCGCTTTGCAGGGCCCGAAGGCTTGCGCGGCCTTTGCCACGAACGATCAATTGTACAGAACCGGGCGAAGCTGCTGAAGCCGAGCATCCCCCCAGCGATCGCGTACCCCGCGTCGGGCCAGGGAGAGGCATCGGAGCGGAGCTATGAAGAAATCTAATCCTTGAGGTCCAAGTCTTTTTGAAGAGTCTGTTAAGACACCAAACACACCAAACGTGGTCTGAGAGGCCTTCTGCAGAGGACTGAACCTGCTGCTTTACGGGCTCCACCCTTCACAGCGCTTCAAGGGCCTGCTGCAGATTGCAGGCTGACGCAATCCCATGAGTAATTTGAGTGATTCGTAAGTCTGATTCAAAAAGCAAGGTTGAAGGGGTTGCAGAGGTTGCACGGGTAGCTGCGTAGCCGTGTACCATAAACGTATCGCCACGTTGCCCTTCATGCTTGCCCGTCATGCTGCTTTGCTGCTTTGTGGCCAGGCACCGCACTGGACTCCAAGAAGAAGTGAGGCCTTGAAAGACCAGCCGTGACAGCCGCAAAAGCCGGCTTCGCTCGAAATTGCCAGTTTTCCCACATGACAAAAAGGGTGCCAGGGCCAAGCTGTCTTATGAGCTGGAAGGGTGCTTGCATTGCGTTGCATTGCGTTGCAGCCGCTGAGATGAAACGGCACTGGCAAAAGTGACTCCACGCGGCTTCGCGGCGCCGCCATGGACCTTTGTGCAACGCTGAGACAGCTCGAGGATTTTTTCAATGGCTGCCGCAATGAATGTGACCAAAAATGCGTCATTGATAACCATGAAGCTGCTGGTCACAACGCTTTTTTTTGCAGTGAGTGCAGTGAACGCAGTTTGCCTAACAGTTAGTAGTACGTAGTCACTTCTGTAACACTGTAGCTAACTGAAGCTGAGCTGTAGCTTTTTTGCTGTTGGAATTTTCTGCAGCCGAGGTTGAGATCTTGCAGGGCCCGTCCTTGGGAACCCCGAACTTCACCGAGTCCTTCTGCCCCTCTGGCCGCGCAGATCTTTGCACTCCTCGAGTGGCCTCAGGAGGCCCTTATGCCCATTCCATTCCTGGAGTGCTTCTACTTGTTTCAAGAGTTTGTGCATGTACCGAGCCATTCAGGCCTGGAATCCCAACCCCACAAGAAGGAATCAGGCAAGGTGCGGCAGCAGCACTGCTGCTAGACGCCCTTCGCTCGTAAACTGCCGTAAACTTAGGGAACAGTGGATCATCGGATCCCGAGCCACGGGTGGTTCAGAGTTCAGACAAGCTTCAGTGCACAGAAGCGCAAAGTTTCAGAGCATCAGGCGAAGCCACAAGCTTCAGAGCTTCAAAAGCGGGCCAAACATAGTTCGCCCGCCTTGGTGACTGGCTGAACACGAAGCCAGATTGATGGAACCGGAGCTGTCATGGTATCGTCAGACGGCAGAGCGTGATGATGAACCCAAGCTCAACGGCGAACAAGCAGGCTGCGCTGAATTAGTTTTGTCCGACATGAAGCAAGACTCCAGGGGCATGAATGTCAAGCCAACTGCATCACCCCGAGCTAGTACCATTGTGAGTTTGTCGCCAAGCAACCCAAGTAACCCACGCAAAGCCACACTTCCAAACCCCTCTGGGCCCATGGATTTCCTTGGAACGGGGCTGCTATTTCTCGGGGGGGCGGGACCCCAGAGGGCGGCCCTAAGACGGGTGCTCCCCCCGTCGACGAGCACCCCCCCCCTGCAGCCTTTGTTCCCTCCGTGGGGCAACAGTGCCACTTCTTCTTCCTGTCCTCCTACTCCTGCTTCCATCCTGCTAACCCCTGCCCCCAATCTTCTCCGCATTGGGCAATACGAGCTTACCTGTCTGCGCCTGCCACTTTTCAAGCCCCCCACCCGCTGGGCCTTTGGCCCCTGCTTCTCCAACTGGCGCCGTGGGCCTTGTCCTGGCTTCGGGGCACGCTGTTGTGCTATTCCTTTCCTGTGTTTCTGCTCTTTTCGGGAAAGCTGCGCATTTGATTCGAAGCGTGCGTACCTGCGCTGTTGGGCCGATCATTCTTGAACTTCCTTCACTTCTCCTGCTTTTCTCCTTGCTTGTTGTGGCTTTTACTTGCGAGCATTCGCGCCTATTTGGCCCATGGGGCTGGCGCCTTTCCTTCTCCTGCTCGTCTCCCTGCTTGTTGTGGATTTTACTTGCCACCATTCGCGCCTATTTGGCCCACGGGGCTGGCGCCTTTCCTTCTCCTGCTTTTCTCCTTGCTCTTTTGCTTGCCACCATTCGCGCCTATTTGGCCCATGCTTGTTGTGGCTATTGTTTGCCACCATTCGCGCCTATTTGGCCCATGCTTGTTGTGGCTATTGTTTGCCACCATTCGCGCCTATTTAGCCCACGGGGCTGGCGCCTTTCTTTCTCCTGCTCTTCTCCCTGCTTGTTGTGGCTTTTGTTTGCCAGCATTCGCGCCTATTTGGCCCATGGGGCTGGCGGCTTTCCTTCTCCTGCTCTTCTCCCTGTTTGTTGTGGCTTTTAAATGCCACCTTTCGCGCCTATTTGGCCCATGGGGCTGGCGTTTTTCCTTCTCCTGCTCTTCTCCCTGCTTCTTGTGGCTTTTGCTTGCCACCATTCGCGCCTATTTGGCCCATGAGGCTGGCGCCTTTCCTATCTCCTGCTCTTCTCCCTGCTTGTTGTGGCTATTGTTTGCCAGCATTCGCGCCTATTTGGCCCATGGGGCTGGCGTCTTTCCTTCTCCTGCTCTTCTCCCTGTTTGTTGTGGCTATTGTTTGCCACCTTTCGCGCCTATTTGGCCCATGGGGCTGACGCCTTTCCTTCTCCTGCTCTTCCCCTGCCTTGTGGCTTTTGTCTGCCACCATTCGCGCCTATTTGGCACATGGGGCTGGCGCCTTTCCAACTCCTGCTCTTCTCCCTGCTTGTTGTGGCTTTTGTTTGCCAGCATTCGCGCCTATTTGGCCCATGGGGCTGGCGCCTTCCTTCTCCTGCTCTTCCCCTGCCTTGTGGCTTGTTACTTGCCACCATTCGCGCCTATTTCGC